GMWWTTTTWATATTAGAAATCAAGGCGCTAAGGTATCGAATCCAATCACTGAGGACACTAAGCTTCTATCACTTAAACAATTTAAGAAAAAGTTTAAATCAAGTCATTCTTGCTAGTTACTAACTGACTTAATTATACTATACATTTTTCTTTCTTCCGTTAGTTAATCTGCCAATACATACTGTATTTTCCTCCTTATTTTCGCTAGTTTGTATTTTTCGCTAATTTGAATTTTTAGCTTGTAACTAGTTTTTGTCTGTGTGTTTCTGCGTTGTTGTATGTGTTACTCTAAGAAGTCTTAAGTACCTGACACCGTTAGTTATTACAGTATTTAAAATCCTAAGGATGGCTGCTCAATTCTATTAGCCTGGTGGTTAGTTTGGGCAGCCATGCACTTTATTTTATTTGTTTTATTACTTTTTTGTAATATAAATTTATTTTAATTCAGGGTGCAAATAAAGTTGCTGTTGTTGTTGTTGTTGTTGTCTCAGACATGCATCTTGCGTGAGCCGAAGTATGCGTTACCCAATCCTGGTTCTCAGACCGGCTAAAGCAATCTTCATGCGTTATTGACCAAGGGTGAGGTCAACAAGACGGCTTGATTTTGGCTAAGATTTTTTTTTTTCATTTTTTACAGCTCGAGACGAAGTCAAGGTCCATAAAAACAATATGACCGCAAGTTTGAATGAAAGTAAGCCGTAAGGTCAACCTCGTTCCCAGGGCCTTTTCCCTTAGTTGGGGATGGGCCGAAAAGGCCCTGGGAACGAGGTTGGTGTAACCCGGCCTTTGTTCTGTAACAGATAGTTGCCTCAAAATATTCTTCCACGTAATTTTGCCGTGGAGAGCTCTATTTTATCTCTAACAGCCTCTAAACAAAGATATTTTCCGTTCTCCGTTCTTCAAACAAGTGAAAATAAATTGAACGAAGAGAAAAGTGTCGTTTTTCAAAGCATAGACAGCATGCGCTTCTTAATTGGTTGTTGCCTATGGAGTTTGCCCTAGCAAATTACGTGATAAGTGCAGGTTGTTTTTAGGGAATTGACACGCAATGGGGTAAAGTCCAAGATCGCTAAAAGCGAATTTTAATGGTAGGAAACGTATGAGCACGTGGGAGTTGTGTTCTTTGTGAAATTTTTTTCAGTGAGGTAAAATTATGTCATAAAATTACGTTGTTTACTGGAAAATGGCATTTCATCTTAGAAAGTCTAGTTCATACTGGCGAGTAAAGAGTAAACACGCAATTGTAGCGCGAAAGTATCGTTTAAACAATATTTAATTCATGGAGAACTTTTGGAAGCAAAGAAACGGATATTTAACGTGGCAGCCGACGCAGAAAGTAAAGATAACTTAGTAGTCGTTTCAACCTTTGCAAAAAGAGCAGCCAAAAGGCAAAAAAACAAGATTATCAATCAAATATGCTTTATGCAAATGCCTTTCGCAATTTGTGTCAGAGTCAGCAAAACTAGCCCTTCCAAAACAACGCGCTCTGGTGCTAAATTCGTGTTAAGCCTTTAGCTGATGGTATGTGCATCATAAGTGAAGGAGCGGTAAACAAAACATGCTAGTTTTAACTTAAAATTGGTAGAAAAAATTCCCTGATGACTTTTCTAATCCTGACAGATCATAGCGATAAAGTCCTCACGAAGGACAGCCGTTACACTGGGTAGATGAGCTCACAATTCTTGTAGATGTCATTCTTACCTCGTTATGTGAGCGAAATTAAAAATGGAATTCATATAGAGCAATGAAATATCCCTCAGTCGAGAAAACGAAATAAAGTAAGCGCGTGACTGCGTCAACTCTAGGTAAACTTCACCTTTCCTTTAATTATTCTTCGACTTCAAAAGCGCGTATATTATTACGGGAGTACTAGTTTAACGGCCCTCTCGTTATATCATTCTTCGACTTCGTGAGCGCGGGATTGCGGATGCACTAGTTTAACGGCCATATCATTTCATCATTCTTTGACTTCAGGAAAGCTTGAATGCGGGACCACTGGTTTAAATGTCCTCTCTTTTACTATTATTTTTCGGCATCGGGACTGCAGGAGCAATCCATTCATAACGGTCAATAGTGGCCGGGTATTCTGAAGTTGCTGCCATCAACTTCTCAAGCAATATTTGATTCAAATTTTTCTCGTGTTCCACTCAGTCTCCTTCAGAACGAAGAATAACCATAGTCGTACAACGATTACAACTTCACCGCTTTTCCAACACGACTAATACGTTTCCTTAATTTACAAACCGCTCTCCCCGAGTCGCGCGTTGATTCGCTGAAATTTGAAGACCTGTCAAACCACAAATTATCAAGAACGCTCTGATTGGTGCGATATCGAAAAATACTACAATCTGATTGGTTTGTGATACACCAAAACATTGCGCCAATCACATTGCTTTGAGATACACCAAAAAAAAGATGCGCCAATCAGATTGCCTAGAGATACACCAAATTGCGCTAATCAGATTACAGTACACCAATACACACCACTCTATACGCTTACATGTAGTTATTTTTTTTTGAAAAAATAACTAAAAAAGCATTAACTTTTCCTTGAACTAGAATGTCTTTTTTCAGGCTCCATTACCCTCCAGTTGTGCGTAACAATCTCTTTTTTATGAAGTCGTGACGCATGAGTCTGACCCAAAAAAATATTTGACGTAGACTTCTCTCTAATCCGAATGTTTGTTGTATGCGACCTGTCAAATATTTTTACTGAAAAAGTGTAGCAAAAATTCATAAGATGAAATAAAAGTTTGATTCCTTTGTATATCACAGATCATAACCACACATAACGTTCATACTCTTTTGACCTGAGATAAATTCCGCTGAGTTTTCGCTTGCTTTTTTACATGAATCTGTTCAAAGGAAAATTAACATTCTCCATGATTTTCTGCCGAAAAGTTTCCGACAGGTTGTAGCCTTTTAAAATTCCTTGGTTCTTTTCCCTTTGTCTTTCATTCTTCACACGAATCTTCAGGAGATTAGTATTTCACACTAAAACAAAACAAAATGTCATCCTAGCAAAAATTTGAGGGAGGGGGGCTAAAAGCATCCCCCAGTCCCCCCTCCCTCCATTCTCGCTGTCTCTGGAGTTAGATATGGTGATATGATCTGATGATCTGATGCGTTAAAAGTACAGTCTAAGTTTTGCCACGTTTTGACTGTTTTGTGCAATTTATTGAACCATTGAATACCCTGAAATTGCAACTCTCGCTAGCAATTAATTAACGAAGGTGACCAATTGAAAGTAAAATCAAAATGTGTGCGACAGAGAGTTTTCAAATCCCGCCATTTTTTAGAACTGTTGATCATGACTGAATTTTTCCTTAAATATTTTGCTCATGGAACTTTGGTAGGACATGCACCATGAAGATTCACCTCGGCGTATTCCGGTTCTTTCCTTTCAAACAACACTTGAGCCGTCAGTGGAGCGTTTGAGCCTGATGACAACTTTCCGGAAAACTCGATTCGAATTTTCTCACATTGCTTTAGGTTGGCACTCTGGATCTGCCCCGGGAAATTCTCGATGTATTAGGTTTGTCCGTCTTGAGACTTTCCGGCGAGCTTGGCTGCGTTCAGATTGGTTATTTCAGCAACTGGTCTGGAGAACTACAAAATAATTTTCCATCCGCCTCGCACAGAATCTATCACTTGCAACTCAAACCTCATCTTAAAGTTATTTGGCGGCCATTGCTGAATCAATTCTGCGCTGGCGCGTTCTTGTGGGGCCGATGGTCCAGGGACTGGGACAGGCAGATCAAAATCTTCGCATTTCGTCCAATTTGGGTTGAAAACGAAGAATGCGTTCGGTGCAGCTTCGTACGGCTTCGCTTTGTAGCAGTTAAATTCAATGCGTAGACTCGATTTCGCTTTGAGCTTCTTGTTGTAGGGCCTGGGTCCAAGACAAAAAGAGTCGGTCGTCGATGCCTTTGGAAGCGAGACCGTTGCCTTGTCGATGGCAAAATTCTTCGTGCTGATGTTCTTGGTGAACTTGAGTGATATGCTCCAGTCACTCACGACCTCTGGGACACGGTATTCAATGATCATTTTAAAGCCGGTATTTGATTCATCGATCGGCTTCAGTGGATAAATCGGTATCACCTGTTGAGGTGTTGTGGGCTGCAAATGGAAACATTTAAAAAATTTTATCATTTTTTTTACATTATTTTCCAGCATAAATAGATTTAGATCTTGAAGCTAAATCAGTGTTAGGCCGATCAGACGAAGGATACCAGGTCTGAGCATGATTGACAATAACCTAATGTTTATTACTTGACCTGTAAGGATTTCATGAATTTTGTTGCTTCCCATGGGCTAATCAAATAAGTATAATCATGTGTGAAAAAACAAAAGGACCAATTTTTTTTATGGAGCGGAAGACTTCAGAGAAAGGAGAACACATTATCTAAATGTTTCAATGCGCTACCTCACATTATTTTGGATCTTTAGCGCTTACTTCAGTTCCACGTACTACTCGTAAGATTTCAATCCACTACTCTACGTAAAAAAGCCAACTTCTATTACCACAGAACTTATAAAAACCGACCTAACAACAGCTTTTCTTATTTCAGAACTTCGATGTAATATTTGAGGAGGAAACATTTAAACTGTGGAGCTACTTGAAGTCAAAATGCAAATGTAACCACGCGTCCCAACAGAAAAAAATTAAACTAAATTGGAACCCAGGCTGTTGATCCGTTCCCGGAAGCAAAGCTGAGGAACATGGGAACGAAAAATAAATCGACAACTCTCTTGTCTACTTTCTTCCGTCTCTAGCTTTGTCCCATTATCCCCTTCGTGTTGTACTTATTTTGAGTCGTTCCCATGTCTCTCGCACTTCTAGAAAGGAACGAACACAACTGTGGACGAGTCGTCTCCAAAATGTCGAGTTTACCAACCGGGGGCTGAGTGGGGAGTCGAGGACTTATGTTTCCACCTTTGAATAGAACTGTGACGTTACCAGGGGGGGAGTTTCTCTTGCCTTTGCACGCCACCACAGCAAATGTCAGAACTTGACCCGTTGCCAATTTTTTATTGAAATATTCTTCTTTGAGATCGTGTATTCTTTGGTCGGCAGATTTTTTCAAAACGATCGCTCTCCATACGTCGATCTTTTTGATTGGCTGAGAAAATATCAGTGCGATCCTCCAACCGTTAGGGACTGGATACTGCATTTTGACGGTGATTATGAGCTTGAAGGCCTCGGCCCAGTCGTGTTCCAATTCTGCTGAGCCGTAAATCATTGGCGAGTCAGCGGTCTTACAACTCAAAGCTCCCAAAAGGACTAGTGAAATGGACCAATACAAGTGCATATTTCCTGTGAAGGTGAGACAAAAACGAAGCAGCCAATGTGCAAAAAAAAAAAAAGAAAAAAATCAGGAAACTTTTCATAGGTTCTATGGAGAGAACGTCAGCTTTTACTGTTACCACGCACAGAGAGAAATTAAGGCTATTTTCAGCACCAATTGATTATAAAAATCTGAAATGTATACTTACGTTTCCTAAAATGCAATCTTGAAGTTAGGAAGACATCGATCTTTACCTTCAATCTCGCTCAGTTTATTTAAATGTAAAGCGTAAATAATAAAACTGTTGGGAGTTTGCAGCTTTGCAAATAAAACTAGTTAAGATTGTTTTTCGATCTTTTTATTGCAGCTGCTTCTCTTGTTCTGAGATAATTCCCAAAGTTTCCGTATTTACATTTAACAAAGCAGTCGATGACACATTGCAAGACAAATCCATTTATGGATGCAAAGAAAAACTTTCTAGATTTTGTAATCCTGATCCCCAAAGTCAACTTTTTAAGATATTCATTTGCGAAATTAGAGGACAAAGCCCAACCAACCAAAGGTGGGGCGATTCTGATCTCCAGAATGAACTCTTTTAGATATTAATTTGTGAAATTAGAGGACAAGCCCTGACCAAAGAGATGGGGGAGGGGAGGGAGGGAGGGGTAGATTAAAATTTCTACGAAATCCGGTATTCGAGTTCTTTACCTTCATAGAAAATAAATAGGACCGACTTTGGGGCTGAAAACTTGAGGGACACATCAAAACCCTAATTTTCAAAATCGAGGATATAAATCAATCCTACAGAACATTCGTACTCAAATAGCTGATATGATTGTTCCCCCTTCCCCTCCCCCCTCCACCTTACCAAGATATATTCTTTGGACCCAGCAGAATGAATCCTTGCTTCCCTCAACATCGCAGTAAAAGGCTCGGGAGGTTTTCACAGTTAGAGGTGTCAGGTTAATATAGGTAGACAAGTATACTTACAACAGTTAACGACCAATCGTGAACAGTAGCTTTTCCTCGTACTGTTAGTAAGGAAGAATTAACTCATTCACAAAGTCAAAACATCTTCAAATTTCCCCACCTAAAACGGTCTTCTAAAGCTGTCACTTCAACAAATCATACACCTTCATCTATTTTAAGAGGAAGAAGTCGTAGAATGTTTTAAAACTCTTACCAAAAAAACGTCAGCGCAATCTTTTTTATCACTGGTCAGAACTGTGCTGTTGCAGAGAACCGTGATGCCGACGAAGAGATCTCAAGAAAGATAATGCCTTCTTTTATTCATTCTCTGTTACCTTGGGAGACAGTTCTACCTCTGGAAACAATCTCGTTGTCTAAATAATTTAATGACATCTTTTCTTTTCTTTCCTCTACCTTTGTGATGAACTCTTAACAAAAGCAAACAAATATCTTTTACGGAAGTAAACAATATCATCGCAGAGTGTGAATTCACCTTTGCAAAATTTTGTAACCTTAAGGCGTCTCGGTATTGGTCTCCGATAGCTTTATAATAATGAATTACTTTAGACTTCAGATGACTATTCTAAATCTTCCGCCTTTCTTAGAAGGGATTCACCTCGCACAAGGAAAAGTAAATAAGATCCAGTTTTAGTCTGAACTGTACCAAACCGGTAATTATTCTCTTCGAAATGTTTACGGTTTGTTGTGTTTTTGTTATCATTGTCTCACTAAATGTTTAGATAAAAAGTTGACGAGACAGAGATTGATAATTTTTCATCGAGAGCTGCGAAAAAGCTCTCTTCCTCTGTAGAAGACTGTTTGGGGACAAAGAGAAAAGAGACCATTAATCAGGCGACATTTTATGGCGAAAGAAAAAACCTCTTAGGAAAACTCAGAATGTTTAAATGAGAAAAATTATGTTTCAATTTTGCGCTATTATTTGCGGAAACAGGAAGGTTTAATTCAAATGTCAAATATCATTTACTGCATAAAAGCTTTTAAGCTTGTACACAGATTTATCTGGATTTATTTCGCAACAATGAATTGTCTTAAATTAGACATCATCTAAATAGGTTGCTCGTATTGCTCGTCGCTAGCTCAAATTCAAGCAAAACAAGTTTAATAAAAGGTCGCTTTCAAGTTTTTCCAAGGTTCAAAAATTATTGACGATACCCGAGTTGGACTACTCAAACTAAGAGATTTTATTTCTGCTCTACAGACGGTGAGTAATTTCAATACAAATAAAATGTTAATGGAACAGGAAACTTTCAGTGCTGCTGTTTATCCTTCGTAGAATGTTGGAAGCTCATTTCCTAGAATAACTCTCCTCTCTATGCCTGACTCATCAATGGCTGCCAAACGGATTATTCCACCTGATGAACCATCCCTGGACATGGCCAACGCCACAGCTGAAAGCAAACCAAAAATGAATCATTAATAGCAGGGCTTTCTATACAATTCTTATAATTTCAGCTCTGAGAGCTAAATCAAACAACATCCAAGGTGATATTGTTTGTTCTTTTCACAACCTTTCTACATAACATAGGCATGCTACGCATGCAGGAGTTATTTTTTTCGTTACGCAGGTTGAAATGTGTAGTGTTTTAGTTAATCATTATTTACCTTAGCTAATTAAGATTATTAAGCTGTATGTATACATGTTGTACATATGTGACCTGTTAATCTGGAATGTAATCACGTGTAATATATAGTTGAGTTGAATAAAGACTTGCGCATGAGTAGAGTTCTGCGTCCTGAGTATAACTCTCTATCGCAATATTACCGAACCCAAGAACTCGACAAAATGGGATACTATACAACTGATGCTGGTGTCTGAATAATTGTTGGCAAAAAGAAACTGCATTGGTACAACGCTTCCTGCAGTCCTCTCCACAGCCTTAATTTGACCTTGTCACGCAACGCTCTCTCTCTTTCTCTAGGCGTAAAGCGCACCACTTTTGTAACCTTTTGTATCTCAAGTAATGACTTGTTGAGGAATGCTGAAAAAGTCATAATTAAAGCGTGCATGGGTCTATCAGTGTTTCGTTCGTGTTCTGTTACAATTTCAAAAGAACTGACGCATTTTACGATTTTTTATTAACTTTTCAAAAGTGAAATGTAACCTTTGTGGCATCCTTTGGGGTAAGGGTACATTTTAAAGGGTAATTGGCATTTTCCACGGCAATTAATCGATAGATCGATAGCTAATACACACCACTAGGTTCTCTTAACTACCCGGAAAATTTTAAAACCAGTTTTATGCACGTTTCAAAAAATCAGGTAAATGTACATGCCCTTTCATCCGAAGTCAAGCTTGGCAATTCAATATAAGCCCTTGAAATGGAGTTTTGAACTTGACAAGTCCACTACGACTATGTCACTCAACATTTCGAGCTAGATTTTTAATGACATGTAGTCCCATACCAACTATTTATGCTGGCAAAGTTTCAGCTTTTTAGCTTTTTTTCGTTGCTCTCGGCAACCATTTAACCAACCTACACCCTTGACTGTAATGCGGGTTACAGGAGTGCCACTTTCGCTAGATTTTTCTCAAAGGGAGATTCCCATTTAAAAGCGTCGAAATCAAATAAACTTTGGTACAAACAATCACCACGCTGTATGCTTACTGACACATTCATTTTAAGATGGTGGATTCAATTTTATAGTGCTGGGATCAACCAAGTTGATCAATTAAAAATTTACTACAACCCACAGTTAAACCATACGAGTATATACACTTTTTTTAGCCGACAGTAGGTGTCAAAATTAATGGTCACCAATACTTTTGAACACCGGTGAGAACCTTAAGAAATGTAGAAATTGTTATTCCTTTCATGAAGATTATGTATTCAATAGATTGCTGTATTATATTCCTCTCACGGTCCTCATCTATACCGTCCCTTAAAGTGCACCTACACCCAAAAAATTTATTTCGCTTAACGAAGTAAGCTTATTTTTTTGAGTATTTCTGCGCAAAAATTTTTTTATTTGCTCAAATCTTCAATTTTCTATGCCCAGTCAAAATACGGAAAATCGGCCGCCATCTTGCCCCACGACCGAGTTTAAAGAGGAATGGCTCTAGTGGGTAATGTGACGTCAAATCGAGAACACGAAAGTCTGCTTTTCACACATTTTCACTTGTTTGGGAAGGTTGTAGTCGATAATTGTCCGAAAATATGCCGACTAAGTGTGTTGTAGAAGGATGTAGCAACGTGCGAAATTTGCAAGAGGGTATCGCGCTCCATACAATCTTCATACAACACACCTAGTCGGCATATTTCGGACGATATCGACGACAATCTTCCCAAACAAGTGAAAATGTGTGAGATGCAGACTTTCGTGTTCTCGATTTGACGTCACATTACCCGCTAGAGCCATTCTTCTTTAAACTCGGTCGTGGGGCAAGATGGCGGCCGATTTTCCGTATTTTGACTGGGCATAGAAAATTGAAGATTTGAGCAAATAAAAAAATTTTTGCGCAGAAATACTCAAAAAAATAAGCTTACTTCGTTAAGCGAAAAAAATTTTTTGGGTGTAGGTGCACTTTAAGNTCCTTCGTCATTCCCTGTTTGTAAGTGACATCACAATGGCCATAAATATATGTACTTCCAGATCCTGAAAAACAAAACATAAACATTGAAAATCCTTATGATATGGTTAAAAGCTATCTTTGTATTCAACCCTGCAAAACACTTCCTACAAGGTAAAGTGTAGCCGCTAATTTATGTGTCTTTTGATTTTTACCTCCTATGGCAAAGGGCTGCCTTACACACATTCCACCCAAGGGAATTGAGAAAACCTACCAGAAAAAGAAAAAAAAAAAACATCAAACATTAATAAACTAATCATGGTACATGCTTAGCAATAATTTCAAGAAACTGAACGGTTCTATGAATAAGATATGCAAAATTTGCATATAACATTATGCAATGAAGAAATCAAGCTTTAGAATTGATCCAAACACTGTGTCAACAGTTTTTTTTTTTTAATAAACATACTGGTATGCCTCTGAAAATGATATGTGATTGGTAATCACAACTATCTTAGTGCCTCCCTCTAGAATTCTGACTGATATCTAGCATTATTTATTTTTGTAACAATTGTTGTTCTTGAATGTTATCTTCCTTATTGCAAAATTTGGTCCCATTTTAACCATTGCAAACTATTGACACTAGGGACACTAATACAAAAATGACCATTATAATAGCAAGGAACAAGTGATAAATTTTGTCTAATTCTTGTCATTCTGTTTCCTTAAGGATGTAACTTGTTGGTTGTATTTCATTGATGGTGGTAACAGCCATGGCATTACTGTAAATAAGATATGCACATCATACAACTGTACCTGTCCTCCTTCTCTCTTGTCCCAGCCTGCACAAATAATTCCAGCTGTCAGCGAATCACGGTTACCATAGCAAACCTCACGGAAGACATTAGCCACTGTTTTCACAAGTGGCTGCTCACCCATTTCAATGCTACCAAAAAAAAAGAAAAGCATCATACCCTATATTTTCCATTCAGCGGCATTTCATTTTAACAGCGAATGCACTGTTAAAAGTATAAGGTTTCAATTTTTTAAAAGTTATCTCTGCAAATTTACCACAATTTGCAAGATATAACCTTCAACATATACTACAAACGTTCAACACTTGAACTCCCACAAGTGATTAATGTCTAACTTCTCCGTGCAATATCCATACACAATCCAGCAAACAGGTAATGAGAATACTCAAACTTACTACACGACTCGGGCAGTCCGAGGACCAATAACTAAAATCAACCAATCAAAATGCTCTATTTCCGGTCAATATTCTCTCAGTATTGGACTGGGCACTGTCCCGAATGGTCCCGAATGATACCGCACTTGTGCCCCTTTGAACTTCAGTTGTATAATAAATCTCTTATAAACCAAGCTTGCTTGGGACTGTACTGGAAGAACATCAGCCCTCAGTCTTTTTTGTATGGACCGAGTGCAGCGAGGTCCGTACTGTCAAGACCTCAGGCCAATATTCTCCCAGTATGTCCCTCATGCTTGGTTAATAAGATATATTTATTGGTCAGAAGTTGTTATCTGAAACACCAAATTCTTGTAACTAATTTACACGAAAATAAGTAGCAGCTAGAGGGGAGAATAAACAATCAGATCATGGGGAATTGAAGAAGTTACATGTAGAAATCATTACCAATATAGTTCAAAGAAAAGAGACTTACATAGAGAAGAAAATAAAAAAGAGCTTGTTCTCTAATCAACTTAACAAATATACCCATGTTACCTGATGAAGTTCAAATGATACTTAGCAATATCAGCAATGGCCTGAGTAGCAGCCGCAGATCCTGAACGGCAACAAAACACTTTATCTGTTACTGGAGTCAACTTATCTGTCACTCGGTTTGCTATGTATGCACTGCATGAGGGAAAAAAGATTGAAAAAGAAGTCATACTAGTCTGGTGGCTCAATGATTTCCTTGGCAAATTGTTTTTTTTTTTCCAGAAAAAATGCAGGTTTGTCACATGGGGGACCTAAGCATCTAGTAAGGTCTTCCTAAGCTTTTACAGTTACCCAATTGTACTCTAGAATGATGAATAGCACTAACAAAGAGTTTACTTTTCTAATCTGATAAGAGATAAGCATGTAATTTCTCCTAAAAATATCAATTGATTAGGGAAGGATGAAAGAAAAGTCAGGGAGAAGAACTGCAAGCCCCTGAGCAGGGAATCTGCAGCTCTAGGAGTTGAGTAAAATTCAGAGGGATTGGAGGACTGGGGTGAGAGGGCTTGAAAAGTGCAGGAATGTAGGGGACTCAACAGACAAACTTTTAAGTGCAAGGTGTCAACTACAAATCGATTGAATAACACAAATTTGAAATCCAGGTGAACGTGCAAAATAACATTTGATTGTTGTGAAAAAAGGCAACAAAATAAGATATTAAAAAAATAAAATAAAACAGAATTAGTCTGAATTTTCTTTCATCTCAATCCCAACTCCCCCAATCAAGATCCATTCCAAAGAGGGA